GAGTTGTCGGATTTCTTCTACACTCGAAAATATACGATTCGCGCAACTGCGGCTCGCGATGTTTCGTTTTTGGATCGGTTTGAAGACCATACACTACCGATGGTGCACTGTGCTTTACGACACTGGGAACGAGGTTATTATCGCCATAATTTTGTTTACTTGAAATTTACGTGTACTTAAACTCAGCCTTGCAGTGATACTGCAGTTTTATTGATAATAGGTAAGCATATATATAGATGATGGAAGAAAACGAGTTGAGAACGATAATATAACAGTGTTATTATTAACGAGGATGAACCTCGAAATTAGTTCTTTTACCATGTTAATTTTCCTGAGTGCCAAGTGATAGATTCTCTCGAGGTTTCTGGCAACACTGTCTAACAAATTTTAACTTTGTTTATAATTTGTAATATCCATTAGGTGATTTTGGTAGAGTTTACTTCCCCGAACTGGGGTCCCTGATGCAAAATACTCTATCATCCTCACTTTTCGAAAATTGCGAGTTTTCCCGAAAACGCGCGATTTTTGGCGAAAATGAAGTATTCTCTAGAAAGAGTAATTTAAATTACGGATTCGTTTGCAGGAAAATAAACTACACAAAAATGACAGATTAAAATTCGCGTTGCACGGTGCAATTTATGCTTACTTAATCCACGAACGATCCAAGAAAACGAAAATTAACGACCGTGATTAACTGCGAGTGATAAATCGAAACACAGGGTACTCTCATTCTCGCGATTTATTAGTGTCTAAATAAAAATGTCCATAGAATTCTTCCTCGTCGAATCCAATTTGTCAAAAGTGACGGTCGTAAAATGCACATAAACATCGATAATTCCAGACAGTCGTAAGAATTACTCAGACGCGCGCTCTGGAGTTTCTAGGTTAGCGCGCGAAATTTGAAAGCGTTCGTTTTGCACGGACGATTAACCGTTTGAAATAAACCGTCGGCGTTACAGGGAAAATTGTTTCTGATCGCGTTGCACCTGTCGCCGTGTCAGGTATCTCGATTGCAAGATACCCGGCTGTGTTTATATCCGAAATATCTCGCCGAGTATTGTCGCGCAGAATGGCCGCTGTTGCCGTTTCATCGCGTTCATTAATTATCTCGTTTTACGGTCGCGACAGCGAGCGCGCCGGATCGAATTCGCAATTTACAAATCGCAATGCAAAACAACAGCCGAGTTCCGCGCCGCCGGACCTGCCCATTTAAATCCGTTAATTGCTTGCGTCGCGCGTCCGCTCGCGTGACGGAATCGCGGCATTCTTTGCGATGATTGATAAATTCGCGAATAAAAATTTACCGTCCAACTCGCGAAACTTTCCATTCCCGATACCTCCCTAGCAACAATGATATATGGACCCTCTGTATCCCATTCACGCCGCCATCGTACATAATAATTTCCTGTTCGGCCTTGTTTTCCACCGATAAAACGGGATCCGATGAAATGAAATTTCTCCTTTCGACGAAATTTTATATTTTCGAAAATTCTCCTCGCTGCAAAAATGTACAGGATTGTCGTGAAATCGTGTTTCGTAAAATCACAACCGACGTAGGGGGTAATTGCTCGCGTAAAACCGAGTCGAAAGTGTAGAATCAAATTTTTTCACACGCGGCTCCATTTTGGAGAAAATCGAGTTGGAAAATTCGAGAGGAATGCGTCGACATTTTCAACATCTGCCAAAATTATTTCAATCGAGCATCGAAGTTTACTATACCTGAAAATTACTACGTCCTGGTCCTCCATCGTTTACAATCGCGAGCTATAGTACGTTCAAGCGAAGCAGAGTGTACTTAACACGTTAAGTGCCACGTCGGTCCCCGGAGATCAGCGCTAGACTTTTCGTTGGGAAAGACTGGGCCCAGCCCAGACTAGGACCGAAAGGTGCTAACTTTTGGTGTTAAATTCTTCGCCACCTTTAGATTTAACGTTTGGAAATTCCTGTTGTAACAATTGGTACAGTATCTCTAAATTTTACGAAAACTTTACCCGCTACGGATGGCCCAATTGACGGCCAAGTCTGGGCCTGAACGGATTTTCAAGAAAAACGGACTGGCACTTAACGCGTTAAACGCCACTCCGGTTTTACGTGCCATTCCGTTCACGCCACAGTTAGCCGTCATGCGGGCCCTTCCAGGCCGTACGGACCTGAACGGAAAGTCTTGCGCCGGTGCCTAGGGACCAACATGGCGCCTAACGTGTCAAGCGCGCATGCCCCGAGCGAATCTTCGAACTCGATTTTCTCGAAAACGAAGCCCCATATGAAAAAATTTTATTCTACATTTTCGACTCAGTTTTACACAAAGAATTACCTCCGTGCAATTATACCGCGATTTCCTGAACATTCCATATAATATCAAGCTCGCAGTTTCATGGGACCAAAAAATTCTCGTATCGCGAATATTTAACGAACGTATTTTGGAATTTATTGGCACATGATTGGACTTTGTACGATATTCCGAGAATCCTATATATCCGAGGATAATCGTAAATTAAAAAATGTATGCTCGGCTCGAGTGTGCGTCATCGAGACTGGTTATGATTCCGCACTTTTCGAAGACGGTGACAGAGGCTCGCTGGTAATTTGGCTAGACGTCACCGGTAAACGATAGGCGGGTGCTCACGGTCAGTCATTGTGGTCGTATGAAGCAACGAGTAAGCTGTAATGGATAGCGCGCGCGATGCACGTGATACGTTAATCAATTGCAATCGGAGCTCCCCGGGCGTAATATAAATTTCGATTTCGGACTTCGTTATCGAATAAATCACGTAAACAGACGCCCCCGCGTATTTTCCATAATATTATATTACCGCATTTACATGTCGTATTTTCATTTTCCAGCTAGAATAAATTGCTCGTATCGATGTTGTCGTCTGCGCGTTTTCTAATTCCGAAATTTCAAATGCGTTTACCAAGGCAAATACGTATAACTAAAGACGTTGAAAGACAGAGTCATCTTCTATAGTATCTTCGCTCTAACTTTACGAAGATTATTTAATACATGTTTTTAAAAAATTCACATTTCTTCACGATTTTAAATATATTAATTGAGGACTCATAGTACTCACTCTGAGTAATTAAAATAGACTTCACGATCTATACTCCAAAAGATAAAATTGACTATAATTGTAAGATGGCGAAGACTGGCTTTGAGACATCAAAAACTTACAGAACAACAAGAACAGAATAACACAAACACAAAACTCATAAAATTAATTTAACTTAAGAAAAGAACACCAAGATAACGCAACGAAAACACGCAAACAGTTTCTCCTCCTTCGGGGAGGCTTGTCTTCTGAATGGGCCTTAAAAGGGCCCGTTCTGGAAGACCCATTCAATTACAGAGCAGTTACTAAGTTGATTATTGAGTGGTTGGTCTGAGTAGTCGTCGAGTTAGTGTATGAAGAGATAGAGTTAATTTGTAGGAAAAATGTGCCAATAAAATAAAATTCCTACAATTATATATGAATATTCTCACCTTACCTAGGTACCTACCATGAGTTTCTTCGCAATACATTTAACAGAATCAAACACAGAAATTTGTTTCGAAGTACACTGGATGAAATTAGCAGAATTATTGCTAATATCATGGATTACTTCATGGTTACGAGATATAATGAGACACCCGGTATATTTAGCGCTATCAACGAGAGACAGACTCAAGGAATTCAAATCAGGTAATTCTAATTTGTTACTCGCATTTGCATTCAGCGTGTCGCGAAAAAACGCATAGGTAATCAATCTCACAGCTGGAAGATCGATCATCGATCATTCGTCGATCAAAAGTTCCTTGCTCCATAATTACTACAAACTCCTCGTTCTTGAATTTTCTTTTTCAACGGCCTTATGTATCAAACAGATTTCGCTGGATTATCTCTGCTCGGCGATAAATTTCGGCTCGATCGTTGCTTCCGCCCTCCGCGCGACGTATGATAATGCAACGGGCGGCGCCGGAAGTGATCTTATCGGTTCACCGCGATTCAAGCCTCTATCCGGGGCCGAGACTCGCGATTCGACGACAAATTCCGACGAATCTGGGGAAACGAGCAGTAAATCAAATAACTCGATCACGTGCCCGAATCGAAACAATGCGAATATTCCGAGCGATTTCGTTCCCGTGACATCGTTTTATCTGTTTTACAATCTTGCCGCGGCCCGAAATGCATTAAACCAAAGTTAACCTGTTTGAGCGCGCGGAATTTCCGTCACGGGGATTTTCCAACGGATCGGAACGTTTATTCCGGTCGTAAGCGAATGGAAAATGGCCGCGCGCCGGCTGAACGGCGAAAAGTGGCGAAACAGGGTATTTTCAGAAACAGCAACCTCGATGTACTGTTTATCAAGCATCCCATAGATCACCGTGCAACGCGTCTTCGGCTCGCTGGTGCTTGTTAAATGTAGCGGTACAAATTCGGGATCGATAGCATTCTGAAAATGTATCGTCCTATTGTGCCTTATTCCCGGGCCAATATTTCACGTTAAAGCGGCATTAAGCGAAACTACGCTTTATATAAAGTTTTATATGCGAGCAGGGAAAGAAAGTACTGTCAACCCTCTTGTAACGTGCTTTTCCGAGGACATGGTTTTGATAAGTCGATTTCACAGAAATGGTCACAGTCCTCGTTTAATGCTGGAATTACTGTGAGGGTAACATAGTAACTGAATTTTTATTTTTTATTTTTATTAATATTGTGGCGGTATTATTTTCACTCTTGCTAATAGATGAATTGATACTCGAAGGAGATTCCCATATAATTTTCCGTTTCCCATATACAGAATTTCCAAACTTTTCAATAATATCCTCATTTAAGGCAGGGCCTACTAGGTAGTCTTACTGATGAGTCCTCCAGCAGGCCCAGGACGAAACGCACCCCTACCTTGGAACAGGAAGGCCCCCTATAGTATTATACGTGCGTGTGTAATATATCATACTGTAATATAGAATTTCCAAACTTTCCAATAGTATCTCCGTTTAACACGTTAAACGCCACTAGGGATCCCTAGGCACTGGCGCTAGACTTTCCGTTCAGGCCCCGCCGGTCCATATGACCCGGAAGGGCCCACGTGACAGCTAATTTGTGGCGTAAACGGATCGGTACGTAAAACCGGCGTAGAGTTTAACGTGTTAAGGCAGAGCCTGCTAGTGATAAGTCTCCTAGCAGGCCCAGGGTCCCTATCAGTCCCCTAGCACCCCTTCCTTTTCCTCTCCTCCCTATGGGAGAACCACCCATAGTATTGTTCGTGCGTTTGCAATATATCATACTGTAATAAGGTACATGCAAATGTACCCCACCGCTACAAAATTACTTAGAATTACTAAATCGGAATAGTACTCGCAAAAATTTGCGTAGGTATTCCATTCGATTCGTATTAATTTCTATTTACATAGGAACGTATATTACGAATGCTTGGTTTCATTATATCGCTTTAATTATTATCATCTACGTATATTGTATAATTATAGGTGGGTATTTTCTCATGAAAGGGTGTCCACGTGCCACTAATTTCGTAAACTTGGACAACCCTCCAGTGAATTTTTAACTTACTAAAAGTAACTGTGTCAACGTGTACTTAATGCTACTTAACGTGGACTCGATGCAACAGTGTTACAGGAGTGTTGACTGTATAGAGAGCAGTGATTATAGCGAGTTCCATCGAGGATCGTTACGTTAATTCGGTAGCTGAATCGCTGGTTTCGTTGGCATACTTGGACAGGTCTTTGGCAATGACTGGATTAAGTATCCTCTGCATCAAGGCCCTCTCGCTGTCGTTTCGCGAATTTCTGGCCTGACTCGTCACATTGAACAAAAGTTTCGCAACTCTCGGAGTTTTCACAGCGAAATACGTGACAGAGGCCAGCACGGCGACGAAAGCGACGATCATAACCACGATGATGCAATATGTTAGACAGTTGTCTGAAAGCGACGAAATTCAAGGTTACTCGGATATTATTCGCAGTTTCGGTGAAGCATGGGTTCCAGAATATTCGAAAAATTTCTACAGATATGAAAGAAGCCTGGAGGGGATCTCGAGATTCTAAAAGTCCCGGAAGTCGACGTCCCGAGGCCTGCGGAGACCTCGGAGTTTCTAAAGATATCCAGGATACCGCGAGGGTCCTCGAGTCCAAGGACATTGAGAATGCCTTGAAACCCCAAAATACCAGGCTCCTAACATCTTCCTCCAGAAAGTTTCGTTCGTATCAAAACATACCTAGTATATTACTCCTGGTCGTCTTGCTTCCTTTCCTCGTCTCTTTTGTCAGCTTTGACTCCTCCATCTTCTTTCTCACATTGACAGAATCTTCGTTTGGATTGCAAGACAGATTAAATGGCTTCCTGTGCACGTAAAAGTCGCCAGTAGATTCCGATACAACAATGAAAGCAGTCTGAGGCAGTGATCTAGAGTTTGACAGCATCCCATCCTCCTGTCTCCTGTCATTTCGAGTCCCAGCCTGGTGACACCTCACAGTTTCTTCCAACTGATGGATCTCTGTAAATCACGTCATCAGTTTTCAATAACAAAGAGAACAGTCGCGAATATGAACCAAGAATCAGGTTAATTAGCCATGCGTTAATAGTCCGTTGACAGAGTTTTGGCTCGGGGCGTCCAGCGCTAATTGCCCAGTGGCAATTCCGTTTACCAAAGATGGCAAACGTTCCTGGCACTAACCTTCGACACCTATCGGCAGAAATTCGAAAGCGTATAGATCTTCCTAAACCGGGGACCTCGACACCCGTGCTAAAGATATTCCAGAGATTCGAGCCATCCGACGCGAGCCACCCCCAAAACAAGTAACGAACGATCGCGGGAAGGGATGGCGACTGCAATATCGTCCGTGAACACGTTTTATCACGAGCGATATACCCGAAACACGCGGGTGCAGACTAGCTGGCGATGCTTCACAGAGACATCACAGGTTTATAGATCAGTCGGAGCCAAGTGGTGTCGGTGATTCTCAATCGGGGCGGTACTAACGCGGTCACATCTCTGTGCCAAAAAGTTGCCGCGTACGCGGCATTCCCGCTAGCCTGAAACTGCAAGGAATAAGAGCAGACGAGGACGAGACATACGGGAGACACCTGGGAGGGAGAAGGAGAGAGACAGGTTGAGGGTAGAGAAATATATAGGGGTCGAGG